AGTACACGTACCAGTCACTGATGGCGTACACCATACTTCTGCGAAGCATAACGGCAAACGAGCAGCAAAACATCCGGTCTTATCGCGGATACGGAAACTCCGCCGAACTCGCGTACAACCACCTGAAGAACCTGTATCAAGCAACCGGCAGCGTTAATCAAAGTCGTCTCATGGCGGAATTAAAAACGGTCCAAATGCAACCCGGCAAAAAGGGAATGGCATATATCAATCACTGTCGTGGCCTGTGCGATAGACTCCTTCGATGCGGCGGATCAATATCCGAAGAAGCGTTCGTCACTGTCGTCATCACAGGTCTCGGTCCTCAGTGGCTCTCCACTCGAGCCATTCTCCGAGTCCACGGAAGAATCTCCGAAGCAAAACTCTGCACCAAAATCCATGCCGAACAACAAGACATGGACCTGCATGAAGAACGACAAGGGAAAGGAGGATCAGCACCGGAATTCGCCTTTCATACTCAGCGGCGCGACAACAACAACAACCGACAACAAGAGCACCAAGCACGAAGATACGTACCACCGTTTTGTCATCTCTGCCGAACGTCAGGACACTCTCGCATTCATTGCCCGAATCAGCAGCAATCGACACCATCACCACGTCAACTTCGACCTTCAAGTAGTCAAGTGACCTTCACACAGCAACATCCTTCGAATCAGGCGCCGCCTTCAACGACAACGTCACAACCTGCACGAGGAACAAGAAAATGACAAGAACGGACTCCTGCATCACTGGTTCACCACCGACTTACTCACCAGAAGAACTGCTCAACGAAAGCACGCCTCGTCGCGAATCGCTACAACCAAACCCGACATACGCAGTTATCGCATAGAGCGAACCGTCCGGTCAAGATACTTGGTTATTGGACAGCTGCTGCGGACAACACATGTGCTCGTCAAATCGCTTCATTCAACGGGAACAACACCTCAACCAGGAAGTCGTGATCACCGTCGCCAATAACCAGAACCTGCGCACACGACGACAAGGAAAAGTTCAACTTCAGTCCCGCGAAGCTAACGTCGTTTTACATATGTCAAAGGTTTTGATTGCAAAAGGACTAGGCTACAACTTACTTAGCGTCAGCCAGCTCATGGCAAAAGGGATTCACCTTGAAGCCGACAGCACCACTCAGGAGTTCAAGCTGTACAACGGGAAGGGAGGACTTTACATCGGGAAAGCAGTCTTGAAGAACAACGTCTTCGTTCTCGACTTCGTCCAAGATCAAGGAACTCCTGACAGCGACGCAATTGTCAACTTCACCACTTGGTCGCACCCACCAGATCTCGACTCAGACTTCAGCCCCGGATGTTTCTGGTACTCGCACACCATACCTGAAGCAGAACGGACAAGGGCGTTAGTAGTGATTCAATAGACAACAGCAGCAAAGACAACAGCAGCAGCATCAACATCGGCAGCAGCAGCAGCGACACCGACAGAAGCCGAAGCAACAACAACAACAACAGCTCCAATCGCCAACTCTTCATCAGCACCGACTCCCACTCAACTGTTGCCTCCCGCCCCACGCGAAGTTCACAGAAGCACCAACATCATCACAAGTTTTTACTCCAACTCCAATCTGTACAGACGTTCACCTGGACATCGCGCCGACGAATCACTATGGCATCAAAGGTTAGGTCATCCATCAACACGACACTGAACAACACGATAAGAGCAGGAGTGCTCGATAAAGACTCACTACTTTAACCCGACGGCAAAGAACTTCAATGAGTCCGTGGAACCTGCTTTACCTGCGCTAAAGCCGACTTACTCCATCAGCCGTTCGTCTCTCACCACAACCTGAGCGCGCCAGCATACGCACCACTGGAGAAGGTCTACAGTGACATACTGTACACCCGCGAAAGCGGAAAAGGAGCATACAACTACGTAATCACGTTCATCGACGCCGCCACCAGATACGTCTGGCACCTCAACCTTCTGAGTCGCGACATGGCCTTCGAAGTATTCGTCGCTTGGCTCCCAGTATCAGAAAGAGAATCAGGAGTGAAGCTGAAAAGCTTTCAATCAGACGGAGGAGGACAATATCAGTCACAGCGGTTCAAGCAATACTTGGCGGAGAAAGGCATCAAGCGACTCATTTCTCTTCCTTACGCTCATCAGCAGCAAGGGATGGCAGAAAGAATGAACATGACCCTCCAGAACACCATGTGCAAGCTGCTACGTGGCATGCGGCTACCCAACCATCAGTGGCCTGAGGCGATGGACCACGCTGTGCTGTTGCACAACTTGCTTTCGTCATCCTTGCTTCCGAACAGCGCATCACCGCATCTGCTGTGGACGGGAAAATTGGGCAACACAAAAATGTTACGAGTTTTTGGCTGCATGGTACAGTACCGACCACACACTGCATGAGCTGGACGATTCTCACAACGCGCACAGTGGGGACTACACGTGGGCATCGAAAAACATTACAACGCGTGGAAGATTTTCGACGTCCACTCGAAGGAAACAGTAGCAGCACGTGACGTGATCTTCTACAAACGACTCACTCTCCAAACATACCTGGACAACTTGGCAGCAGAACAAGACCTCACAGGCGGCTTCCGTGGCAACCGAGCCTTCGCCTCGCCAGCAGATGAAGCTGACTGGGATGAACAAAACGTGGACAGAGCATCAGAGGAAGTCGGACCTCTTCCCTACTGTTCGGTACCCATTCCGATGGACGACAAAAATCCTCGCGAAAGCATCAACGCCGAAGTCTACAATGACTTCGCCGACAACGGTTACGTTACACCACAGCCGGTCAACACAAATGTTTCAGAACACATAGGCCCCAACTTCTTACCTGATCCAGAAGCGGGAGACGAAGCGGTTTATCCCAAGGACCCAAATCTCCCTCGCTACACAAAGAGTGGGCTGCAGATTCTTGGACTCGTCACCGCAGTCCATGGCGCACCAATGCCGAGAGAGCCCGCTACGGTTCAGCAGGCTCTGAGGGGGGAGCACAAGGAAAATGGCGAGAAGCCACAGACAGGGAGTTAAAAGCGCTGGAAGACAGAAACACCTGGCAGATAGTACCCATCGGAGTGACACGCAACAAAACTATTCTCACAAGAAAGTGGGTCTTCCGCGTGAAAACAAAAGCTGATGGGACAATTGACAAATTCAAAGCGCGATGGGTCGTGCGTGGCTTCAATCAAGAGCACGGGCGAGACTTCACCGAGAATTCCGCACCAGTCAGTCGACATACCTCCTTGCGAATTCTCCCCGCAATAGCCACCATGAAGCAGAAGAAGCTCCGCCGAATCGACGTAGCCAACGCGTTCCTCTACGCTCCCGTCGACGCCGAAATCTTCGTCGAGCAACCACACGGATCCAACAAAGACCCTAATCAAGTCTGTCAGCTGGTGAAATCCTTGTACGGCATCAAGCAAGCTCCGCGGCTGTGGCAGCAGTACCTACACGCCCGACTAATCCGCATCGGCTTTCAGCAATTACCACACGACAAAGGCATGTACAGACTCACAAAGGAAGCCGAGTACATTCTACTCATCGTGTATGTAGACGACCTACTCTACATAGGCTCCACCGATGGCATCACCAATTGGTTTGAAGGGGAGCTGCAATAGGATCTCTCACTCACGGTTTCCTCTACCGTGACCCAATACCTTGGACTCAACATTCTAGACGGAGAGAACGCGATCTACCTCAGCGCCGCAAAATACGCCGACACCATCGCAAAACGCTTCGGACTGACGCCAGCCTCCATTTCCACGCCCTACCGCTACACTGCGGGAAATCACGAGGAAAATTCAAATCTGCTTGGAACTGCCGGCCTACGCGACTACCAACAAAAACAGGGCTGTCTGCTCTTCGCAGCCATCACCTGCCGACCGGATCTATCATACTCAGCGAGTCAGCTTGCTACCCACCTCAAGCGGCTCGAAGCAGAGCATATAGCCGAACTCGACCGCGCCCTACACTACCTCGTCAGCACGCCAACAATCGGCCTAACCTACCACAAGACCAGAACCAAAGCTAATCGGCTACGTGGACGCTAACCATGCAGGCAACTCTGACAACAGGCAATCGCGCACCGGCTACATCTACCGACTTGAACCCGTCGGACCTATCTCGTGGCAGTCAAGCAAACAAGAAATAATTGCACTCTCCTCTGCTGAAGCCGAATACATCGCACTCTGCTTAGCCACCAAGGAAGGACTGTACCTTCGCGAAATACTGGAAGAAGCAAAGCTGGCCCAGTTACCCAGCTTCTCCCTCTTCTGTGAAAACCAATCTGCAATTCACATAGCGAACAAGAGCGGGTTCGCGAACTGAACGAAGCACATTGCCCTACGCTACTTCTTCGTGAAGGACGAGATAAAAAAAGGGAGACTCGAGCTATCATACTGCCCCATGTCCGAGATGGCAGCAGATTATCTGACCAAGAAACTTGGAAAGCAGAAGTTCGAGTACTGCATGCTGCTGACTGGACAGGGCCACGTCACCAGCAACGAAGGCGATGACACTCCACTGTAAAAATAGTAGATAGGAGAGACTAGGAGGCATGCTTAGGGTATGAGCTAGGCATGAGTGTCGAGGGAGTTTAGGCAAGGGAAAAGTGTCGAGAAAGAAGAAAGGTGTTCAATAATGAGAAACAGTACAAGGATACAGGCAAGAACTAAGAATGGTGCACCCCCAACAGTTTATGATAGCTACACTAAACTACAGCTACAGGCAGTTACATATATATATTCCAACACACCCCCATAACTGCTTGCAGCAGGAGATTGTGCAGAGTAAAGCAGCAGTAGGCAAGATCAGTGACAACCGGTGCAGTGGTGGCATATTCTGCTGCAACAACCCCTCAGCCAAGATAGAAGCAAGCAAAAGAATAAGGTGCATGTGGCGGCAGGTCGCCTGGAGAGCAGGTGCTTGCAGCGGCAGCGTGCGGCGGCACAGCAGCGCTCAACGGCAGCACCTGCCGCTCAACAGCAGCAGACAGCAGTTGGAGGCAGGGGCGGCATATGGAGGTGCCACACTAGCAGCAAGCAGCAGCTGCCGATGCCTGGCTGTCTTCCGCCACCGCCTCACCCTCCCCCCCACAGTGGCACGCGCGACCGTGAGAGAGAGAGAGAGAAGGAGGGGCGGCTGCTGGCTAGGCAGAATCTCTCTCGCCACCCCCTCACACCTCCATGCTCCCCCCCCCTTTTCTCCCAACACAACAACAGGTGCAGTAGGGAGAGAGAGGAGGAGGTGACAGGCTCCTGGCTACTCAAACCCGCCACCCCCATACCCCCCCCCCCCCACTACTGCACCCGCAGCAGGGGGATGGAGGAGAAGGGGGGATGAGGGGAACTCACGAGGGGGTGCGAGGGGCACACACGAGGGGGTGCGAGGGGCACTCACGAGGGGGTGCGAGGGGCACTCACGAGGGGGTTCAAGGGGCACTCACGAGGGGGTGCGAGGGGCACTCACGAGGGGGTGCGAGGCGCACTCACGAGGGGGTGCGAGGGGCACTCACGAGGGGGTGCGAGGGGCACTTAAGAGAGGGTGCGAGGGGCACTCACGAGGGGGGTGCGAGGGGCACTCACGAGGGGGTGCAAGGGGCACTCACGAGGGGGGGGAAAGGGGCACTCACGAGGGGGAGCGAGGGGCACTCACAAGGGGGTGTAAGGGGCACTCACGAGGGGGTGCGAGGGGCACTCACGAGGGGGTGCGAGGGGCACTTTAGAGAGGGTGCGAGGGGCACTCACGAGGGGGGTGCGAGGGGCACTCACGAGGGGGTGCAAGGGGCACTCACGAGGGGGGGGAAAGGGGCACTCACGAGGGGGTGCGAGGGGCACTCACAAGGGGGTGCGAGGCGCACTCACAAGGGGGTGCGAGGGGCACTCACGAGGGGGTGCGAGGGGCACTCACGAGGGGGTGCGAGGGGCACTCACGAGGGGGTGCGAGGGGCACTCACGAGGGGGTGCGAGGGGCACTCACGAGGGGGTGCGAGGCGCACTCACGAGGGGGTGCGAGGGGCACTCACGAGGGGGTGCGAGGGGCACTCACGAGGGGGTGCAAGGGGCACTCACGAGGGGGTGCGAGGCGCACTCACGAGGGGGTGCGAGGGGCACTCACGAGGGGGTGCGAGGGGCACTCACGAGGGGATGCGAGGGGCACTCACGAGGGGGTGCGAGGGGCACTTACGAGAGGGTGCGAGGGGCACTCACGAGGGGGGTGCGAGGGGCACTCACGAGGGGGTGCAAGGGGCACTCACGAGGGGGTGCAAGGGGCACTCACGAGGGGGTGCGAGGGGCACTCACGAGGGGGTGCGAGGCGCACTCACGAGGGGGTGCGAGGGCCACTCACGAGGGGGTGCGAGGGGCACTCACGAGGGGATGCGAGGGGCACTCACGAGGGGGTGCGAGGGGCACTCACGAGGGGGTGCGAGGGGCACTCACGAGGGGGTGCGAGGCCCACTCACGAGGGGGTGCGAGGGGCACTCACAAGGGGGTGCAAGGGGCACTCACGAGGGGGTGCGAGGGGCACTCACGAGGGGGTGCGAGGGGCACTCACGAGGGGGTGCGAGGGGCACTCACGAGGGGGTGCGAGGGGCACTCACGAGGGGGTGCAAGGGGCACTCACGAGGGGGTGCAAGGGGCATTCACGAGGGGGTGCGAGGGGCACTCACGAGGGGGTGTGAGGGGCACTTACGAGGGGGTGCGAGGGGCACTCACGAGGGGGGTGCGAGGGGCACTCACGAGGGGGTGCGAGGGGCACTCACGAGGGGGTGCGAGGGGCACTCACGAGGGGGTGCGAGGGGCACTCACGAGGGGGTGCGAGGGGCACTTACATGGGGGTGCGAGGGGCACTCACGAGGGGGTGCGAGGGGCACTCACAAGGGGGTGCGAGGCGCACTCACGAGGGGGTGCGAGGGGCACTCACGAGGGGGTGCGAGCGGCACTCACGAGGGGGTGCGAGGGGCACTCACGAGGGGGTGCGAAGGGCACTCACGAGAGGGTGCGAGGGGCACTCACGAGGGGGGTGCGAGGGGCACTCATGAAGGGGTGCAAGGGGCACTCACGAGGGGGTGCAAGGGGCACTCACGAGAGGGTGCAAGGGGCACTCACGAGGGGGTGCAAGGGGCACTCACGAGGGGGTGCGAGGCGCACTCACGAGAGGGTGCGAGGGGCACTCACGAGGGGGTGCGAGGGGCACTCACGAGGGGATGCGAGGGGCACTCACAAGGGGGTGCAAGGGGCACTCACGAGGGGGTGCGAGGGGCACTCACGAGGGGGTGCGAGGCGCACTCACAAGGGGGTGCGAGGGGCACTCACGAGGGGGTGCGAGGGGCACTCACGAGGGGGTGCGAGGGGCACTCACGAGGGGGTGCAAGGGGCACTCACGAGGGGGTGCAAGGGGCACTCATGAGGGGGTGCGAGGGGCACTCACGAGGGGGTGCGAGGGGCACTCACGAGGGGGTGCGAGGGGCACTCACGAGGGGGTGCGAGGAGCACTCACGAGGGGGTGCGAGGGGCACTCACGAGGGGGTGCGAGGCGCACTCACGAGGGGGTGCGAGGGGCACTCACGAGGGGGTGCGAGGGGCACTCACGAGGGGGTGCGAGGGGCACTCACGAGGGGGTGCGAGGCGCAATCACGAGGGGGTGCGACGGGCACTCACGAGGGGGTGCGAGGGGCACTCACAAGGGGGTGCGAGGCGCACTCACGAGGGGGTGCGAGGGGCACTCACGAGGGGCTGCGAGGAACACTCACGAGGGGGTGCGAGGGGCACTCACGAGGGGGTGCGAGGGGCACTCACGAGAGGGTGCGAGGGGCACTCACGAGGGGGTGCAAGGGGCACTCACGAGGGGGTGCAAGGGGCACTCACGAGGGGGTGCAAGGGGCACTCACGAGGGGGTGCGAGGGGCACTCACGAGGGGGTGCGAGGCGCACTCACGAGAGGGTGCGAGGGGCACTCACGAGGGGGTGCGAGGGGCACTCACGAGGGGATACGAGGGGCACTCACAAGGGGGTGCAAGGGGCACTCACGAGGGGGTGCGAGGGGCACTCACGAGGGGGTGCGAGGCGCACTCACAAGGGGGTGCGAGGGGCACTCACGAGGGGGTGCGAGGGGCACTCACGAGGGGGTGCGAGGGGCACTCACGAGGGGGTGCAAGGAGCACTCACGAGGGGGTGCAAGGGGCACTCACGAGGGGGTGCGAGGGGCACTCACGAGGGGGTGCGAGGGGCACTCACGAGGGGGTGCGAGGGGCACTCACGAGGGGGTGCAAGGGGCACTCACGAGGGGGTGCAAGGGGCACTCACGAGGGGGTGCGAGGGGCACTCACGAGGGGGTGCGAGGCGCACTCACGCGGGGGTGCGAGGGGCACTCACGAGGGGGTGCGAGGGGCACTCACGAGGGGGTGCAAGGGGCACTCACGAGGGGGTGCGAGGGGCACTTACATGGGGGTGCGAGGGGCACTCACGAGGGGGGTGCGAGGGGCACTCACGAGGGGGTGCGAGGGGCACTCACGAGGGGGTGCGAGGGGCACTCACGAGGGGGTGCGAGGGGCACTCACGAGGGGGTGCGAGGGGCACTCACGAGGGGGTGCGAGGGGCACTCACGAGGGGGTGCGAGGGGCACTCACGAGGGGGTGCGAGGAGCACTCACGAGGGGGTGCGAGGGGCACTCACGAGGGGGTGCGAGGCGTACTCACGAGGGGGTGCGAGGGGCACTCACGAGGGGGTGCGAGGGGCACTCACGAGGGGGTGCGAGGGGCACTCACGAGGGGGTGCGAGGCGCAATCACGAGGGGGTGCGACGGGCACTCACGAGGGGGTGCGAGGGGCACTCACAAGGGGGTGCGAGGCGCACTCACGAGGGGGTGCGAGGGGCACTCACGAGGGGCTGCGAGGAACACTCACGAGGGGGTGCGAGGGGCACTCACGAGGGGGTGCGAGGGGCACTCACGAGAGGGTGCGAGGGGCACTCACGAGGGGGTGCAAGGGGCACTCACGAGGGGGTGCAAGGGGCACTCACGAGGGGGTGCAAGGGGCACTCACGAGGGGGTGCGAGGGGCACTCACGAGGGGGTGCTGTTGGTGCAACCCTACGGTTTGCACTCGGCTTGTTGTCCGTGTGCGTGAATGTGTGTGTGTATGGAATGGTATGAGGGCATGGGATAATATATATTTCATGCTTATAATTGTGTGTGAATGTTGAGTCATGATGTCGAGTGTGTGTGTCGAGTCAATAGCGAGTTATCGCTAGACGCGTGTTACGCGGTCGTTTGTGTCTCGCGCGCGGTTTCTATTTTGTCGTGCGCGGTTTCTATTTTGTCCTGTGTCGAACGTTCGGCGTGTCGCAGGTGTGTGCAGCAGACCCATCAAGAACTCAAGGATGAGTTTGTGATGAAGAGCCCGAGCCTTGGTGTCAAGCTTCAAGTGATTTCGATGCTTGCCAAAAGGGTACACCTCAAGATATTGAAGATAGTTACATTACTTTGTGTAGTGTAACATTTCACTTGGTGTAGGCCCTAGTGAAGGGTAGTTTCGAGACCCTTCGTGGTTGGGGACAGTGTGGCACTGTTCCACATCACTGTACCTCGGCTCTTGGGGTTTGTAGGAGCTGGGAGTCATTCCCAACTCGTAACTCTTCCTATCTTGTGTTCTAAGACTATAGTGGCTGCCATAGTACCGTTCGTTCAAACCGACGCTGTGTCGTCAATTCTTTATCAAATCGTGCAATCTAAATTGCTAATTGTAGACGACGTGAAGTCGCTCCAGATCCAATTTGAATCAGGTCATTTGCAGCTGTGAGCAGAACGCTATCAACGTTTGAAGCCGCTGTGCAGAAATCCGTCTGTGCTCTCTATCTTTCGTTTTAGGCACATTCAAGCCTATTGTAACTATAACAGGTGCGAGTCGCACTCACGAGAGGGTGCGAGGGGCACTCACGAGGGGGTGCGAGGGGCACTCACGAGGGGATGCGAGGGGCACTCACAAGGGGGTGCAAGGGGCACTCACGAGGGGGTGCGAGGGGCACTCACGAGGGGGTGCGAGGCGCACTCACAAGGGGGTGCGAGGGGCACTCACGAGGGGGTGCGAGGGGCACTCACGAGGGGGTGCGAGGGGCACTCACGAGGGGGTGCGAGGGGCACTCACGAGGGGGTGCAAGGGGCACTCACGAGGGGGTGCGAGGGGCACTCACGAGGGGGTGCGAGGGGCACTCACGAGGGGGTGCGAGGGGCACTCACGAGGGGGTGCAAGGGGCACTCACGAGGGGGTGCGAGGGGCACTCACGAGGGGGTGCGAGGCGCACTCACGAGGGGGTGCGAGGGGCACTCACGAGGGGGTGCGAGGGGCACTCACGAGGGGGTGCAAGGGGCACTCACGAGGGGGTGCGAGGGGCCCTTACATGGGGGTGCGAGGGGCACTCACGAGGGGGGTGCGAGGGGCACTCACGAGGGGGTGCGAGGGGCACTCACGAGGGGGTGTAAGGGGCACTCACGAGGGGGTGCGAGGGGCACTCACGAGGGGGTGCGAGGGGCACTCACAAGGGGGTGCGAGGCGCACTCACGAGGGGGTGCGAGGGGCACTCACGAGGGGCTGCGAGGAACACTCACGAGGGGGTGCGAGGGGCACTCACGTGGGGGTGCGAGGGGCACTCACGAGAGGGTGCGAGGGGCACTCACGAGGGGGTGCAAGGGGCACTCACGAGGGGGTGCAAGGGGCACTCACGAGAGGGTGCAAGGGGCACTCACGAGGGGGTGCAAGGGGCACTCACGAGGGGGTGCGAGGCGCACTCACGAGAGGGTGCGAGGGGCACTCACGAGGGGGTGCGAGGGGCACTCACGAGGGGATGCGAGGGGCACTCACAAGGGGGTGCAAGGGGCACTCACGAGGGGGTGCGAGGGGCACTCACGAGGGGGTGCGAGGCGCACTCACGAGGGGGTGCGAGGGGCACTCACGAGGGGGTGCGAGGGGCACTCACGAGGGGGTGCGAGGGGCACTCACGAGGGGGTGCAAGGGGCACTCACGAGGGGGTGCAAGGGGCACTCACGAGGGGGTGCGAGGGGCACTCACGAGGGGGTGCGAGGGGCACTCACAAGGGGGTGCGAGGGGCACTCACGAGGCGGTGCAAGGGGCACTCACGAGGGGGTGCGAGGGGCACTCACGAGGGGGTGCGAGGGGCACTCACGAGGGGGTGCGAGGCCGCTCACGAGGGGGTGCGCACTCACGAGGGGGTGCGAGGGGCACTCACGAGGGGGTGCAAGGGGCACTCACGAGGGGGTGCGAGGGGCACTTACATGGGGGTGTGAGGGGTACTCACGAGGGGGGTGCGAGGGGCACTCACGAGGGGGTGCCAGGGGCACTCACGAGGGGGTGCGAGGGGCACTCACGAGGGGGTGCAAGGGGCACTCACGAGGGGGTGCGAGGGGCACTCACGAGGGGGTGCGAGGCGAACTCACAAGGGGGTGCGAGGGGCACTCACGAGGGGGTGCGAGGGGCACTCACGAGGGGGTGCGAGGGGCACTCACAAGGGGGTGCGAGGAGCACTCACGAGGGGGTGCGAGGGGCACTCACGAGGGGGTGCGAGGCGCACTCACGAGGGGGTGCGAGGGGCACTCACGAGGGGGTGCGAGGGGCACTCACGAGGGGGTGCGAGGGGCACTCACGAGGGGGTGCGAGGGGCACTCACGAGGGGGTGCGAGGGGCACTCACGAGGGGGTGCGAGGGGCACTCACGAGGGGGTGCGAGGGGCACTCACGAGGGGGTGCGAGGGGCACTCACGAGGGGGTGCGAGGCGCAATCACGAGGGGGTGCGAGGGGCACTCACGAGGGGGTGCGAGGGGCACTCACAAGAGGGTGCGAGGCGCACTCACGAGGGGGTGCGAGGGGCACTCACGAGGGGCTGCGAGGAACACTCACGAGGGGGTGCGAGGGGCACTCACAAGGGGGTGTGAGGGGCACTCACGAGAGGGTGCGAGGGGCACTCACGAGGGGGTGCAAGGGGCACTCACGAGGGGGTGCAAGGGGCACTCACGAGGGGGTGCAAGGGGCACTCACGAGGGGGTGCGAGGGGCACTCACGAGGGGGTGCGAGGCGCACTCACGAGAGGGTGCGAGGGGCACTCACGAGGGGGTGCGAGGGGCACTCACGAGGGGATGCGAGGGGCACTCACAAGGGGGTGCAAGGGGCACTCACGAGGGGGTGCGAGGGGCACTCACGAGGGGGTGCGAGGCGCACTCACAAGGGGGTGCGAGGGGCACTCACGAGGGGGTGCGAGGGGCACTCACGAGGGGGTGCGAGGGGCACTCACGAGGGGGTGCAAGGGGCACTCACGAGGGGGTGCAAGGGGCACTCACGAGGGGGTGCGAGGGGCACTCACGAGGGGGTGCGAGGGGCACTCACGAGGGGCTGCGAGGAACACTCACGAGGGGGTGCGAGGGGCACTCACGAGGGGGTGCGAGGGGCACTTACGAGAGGGTGCGAGGGGCACTCACGAGGGGGTGCAAGGGGCACTCACGAGGGGGTGCAAGGGGCACTCACGAGGGGGTGCAAGGGGCACTCACGAGGGGGTGCGAGGGGCACTCACGAGGGGGTGCGAGGCGCACTCACGAGAGGGTGCGAGGGGCACTCACGAGGGGGTGCGAGGGGCACTCATGAGGGGATGCGAGGGGCACTCACGAGGGGGTGCAAGGGGCACTCACGAGGGGGTGCGAGGGGCACTCACGAGGGGGTGCGAGGCGCACTCACCAGGGGGTGCGAGGGGCACTCACGAGGGGGTGCGAGGGGCACTCACGAGGGGGTGCGAGGGGCACTCACGAGGGGGTGCAAGGGGCACTCACGAGGGGGTGCAAGGGGCACTCACGAGGGGGTGCGAGGGGCACTCACGAGGGGGTGCGAGGGGCACTCACGAGGGGGTGCGAGGGGCACTCACGAGGCGGTGCAAGGGGCACTCACGAGGGGGTGCGAGGGGCACTCACGAGGGGGTGCGAGGGGCACTCACGAGGGGGTGCGAGGCCGCTCACGAGGGGGTGCGCACTCACGAGGGGGTGCGAGGGGCACTCACGAGGGGGTGCAAGGCGCACTCACGAGGGGGTGCGAGGGGCACTTACATGGGGGTGTGAGGGGTACTCACGAGGGGGGTGCGAGGGGCACTCACGAGGGGGTGCCAGGGGCACTCACGAGGGGGTGCGAGGGGCACTCACGAGGGGGTGCAAGGGGCACTCACGAGGGGGTGCGAGGGGCACTCACGAGGGGGTGCGAGGCGAACTCACAAGGGGGTGCGAGGGGCACTCACGAGGGGGTGCGAGGGGCACTCACGAGGGGATGCGAGGGGCACTCACGAGGGGGTGCGAGGGGCACTCACGAGGGGGTGCGAGGGGCACTCATGAGGGGGGTGCGAGGGGCACTCACGAGGGGGTGCAAGGGGCACTCACGAGGGGGTGCGAGGCGCACTCACGAGGGGGTGCGAGGGGCACTCACGAGGGGGTGCGAGGGGCACTCACGAGGGGGTGCGAGGCGCACTCACGAGGGGGTGCGAGGGGCACTCACGAGGGGGTGCGAGGGGCACTCACGAGGGGGTGCGAGGGGGTGCGAGGGGCACTCACGAGGGGGTGCGAGGGGCACTCACGAGGGGGTGCGAGGGGCACTCACGAGGGGGTGCGAGGGGCACTCACGAGGGGGTGCGAGGGGCACTCACGAGGGGGTGCGAGGGGCACTCACGAGGGGGTGCGAGGGTCACTCACGAGGGGGTGCGAGGCGCACTCACGAGGGGGTGCGCACTCACGAGGGGGTGCGAGGGGCACTCACGAGGGGGTGCGAGGGGCACTCACGAGGGGGTGCGAGGGGCACTCACGAGGGGGTGCGAGGGGCACTCACGAGGGGGTGCGAGGGGCACTCACGAGGGGGTGCGAGGCGCACTCACGAGGGGTTGCGAGGGGCACTCACGAGGGGGTGCGAAGGGCACTCACAAGGGAGTGCGAGGGGCACTCACGAGGGGGTGCGAGGGGCACTCACGAGGGGGTGCGAGGCGCACTCACGAGGGGGTGCGAGGCGCACTCACGAGGGGGTGCAAGGGGCACTCACGAGGGGGTGTAAGGGGCACTCATGAGGGGGTGGGAGGGGCACTCATGAGGGAGTGCGAGGGGCACTCACGAGGGGGTGTGAGGGGCACTCACGAGGGGGTGCGAGGGGCACTCACGAGGGGGTGCGAGGGGCACTCACGAGGGGGTGCGAGGGGCACTCACGAGGGGGTGCGAGGGGCACTTACGAGAGGGTGCGAGGGGCACTCGCGAGGGGGTGCGAGGGGCACTCACGAGGGGGTGCGAGGGGCACTCACGAGGGGGTGCGAGGCGCACTCACGAGGGGGTGCGCACTCACGAGGGGGTGCGAGGGGCACTCACGAGGGGGTGCGAGGGGCACTCACGAGGGGGTGCGAGGGGCACTCACGAGGGGGTGCGAGGGGCACTCACGAGTGGGTGCGAGGGGCAGTCACGAGGGGGTGCGAGGGGCACTCACGAGGGGGTGCGAGGCGCACTCACGAGGGGGTGCGAGGGGCACCCACGAGGGGGTGCGAGGGGCACTCACAAGAAGGTGCGAAGGGCACTGACAAGGGGGTGCAAGGGGCACTCACGAGGGGGTGCGAGGGGCACTCATGAGGGGGGTGCGAGGGGCACTCACGAGGGGGTGCAAGGGGCACTCACGAGGGGGTGCGAGGCGCACTCACGAGGGGGTGCGAGGGGCACTCACGAGGGGGTGCGAGGGGCACTCACGAGGGGGTGCGAGGGGCACTCACGAGGGGGTGCGAGGCGCACTCACGAGGGGGTGCGAGGGGCACTCACGAGGGGGTGCGAGGGGCACTCACGAGGGGGTGCGAGGGGCACTCACGAGGGGGTGCGAGGGGCACTCATGAGGGGGTGCGAGGGGCACTCACGAGGGGGTGCGAGGGGCACTCACGAGGGGGTGCGAGGGGCAATCACGAGGGGGTGCGAGGCGCACTCACGAGGGGGTGCGAGGGGCACTCACGAGGGGGTGCGAGGGGCACTCACGAGGGGGTGTGAGGGGCACTCACGAGGGGGTACGAGGGGCACTCACGAGGGGGTGCGAGGGGCACTTACGAGGGGGTGCGAGGGGCACTCACGAGGGGGTGCGAGGGGCACTCACGAGGGGGTGCTAGGGGCACTTACGAGAGGGTGCGAGGGGCACTCACGAGGGGGTGCGAGGGGCACTCACGAGGGGGTGCGAGGCGCACTCACGAGGGGGTGCGCACTCACGAGGGGGTGCGAGGGGCACTCACGAGGGGGTGCGAGGGGCACTCACGAGGGGGTGCGAGGGGCACTCACGAGTGGGTGCGAGGGGCACTCACGAGAGGGTGCGAGGGGCACTCACGAGGGGGTGCGAGGCGCACTCACGAGGGGGTGCGAGGGGCACCCACGAGGGGGTGCGAGGGGCACTCACAAGAAGGTGCGAATGGCACTGACAAGGGGGTGCAAGGGGCACTCACGAGGGGGTGCGAGGGGCACTCATGGGGGGGGTGCGAGGGGCACTCACGAGGGGGTGCAAGGGGCACTCACGAGGGGGTGCGAGGCGCACTCACGAGGGGGTGCGAGGGGCACTCACGAGGGGGTGCGAGGGGCACTCACGAGGGGGTGCGAGGGGCACTCACGAGGGGGTGTGAGGAACACTCACGAGGGGGTGCGAGGGGCACTCACGAGGGGGTGCGAGGGGCACTCACGAGGGGGTGCGAGGGGCACTCACGAGGGGGTGCGAGGGGCACTCACGAGGGGGTGCGAGGGGCACTCACGAGGGGGTGCGAGGGGCACTCACGAGGGGGTGCGAGGCGCAATCACGAGGGGGTGCGAGGGGCACTCACGAGGGGGTGCGAGGGGCACTCACGAGGGGGTGCGAGGGGCACTCACGAGTGGGTGCGAGGGGCAGTCACGAGGGGGTGCGAGGGGCACTCACGAGGGGGTGCGAGGCGCACTCACGAGGGGGTGCGAGGGGCACCCACGAGGGGGTGCGAGGGGCACTCACAAGAAGGTGCGAAGGGCACTGACAAGGGGGTGCAAGGGGCACTCACGAGGGGGTGCGAGGGGCACTCATGAGGGGGGTGCGAGGGGCACTCACGAGGGGGTGCAAGGGGCACTCACGAGGGGGTGCGAGGCGCACTCACGAGGGGGTGCGAGGGGCACTCACGAGGGGGTGCGAGGGGCACTCACGAGGGGGTGCGAGGGGCACTCACGAGGGGGTGCGAGGCGCACTCACGAGGGGGTGCGAGGGGCACTCACGAGGGGGTGCGAGGGGCACTCACGAGGGGGTGCGAGGGGCACTCACGAGGGGGTGCGAGGGGCACTCATGAGGGGGTGCGAGGGGCACTCACGAGGGGGTGCGAGGGGCACTCACGAGGGGGTGCGAGGGGCAATCACGAGGGGGTGCGAGGCGCACTCACGAGGGGGTGCGAGGGGCACTCACGAGGGGGTGCGAGGGGCACTCACGAGGGGGTGTGAGGGGCACTCACGAGGGGGTACGAGGGGCACTCACGAGGGGGTGCGAGGGGCACTTACGAGGGGGTGCGAGGGGCACTCACGAGGGGGTGCGAGGGGCACTCACGAGGGGGTGCAAGGGGCACTTACGAGAGGGTGCGAGGGGCACTCACGAGGGGGTGCGAGGGGCACTCACGAGGGGGTGCGAGGCGCACTCACGAGGGGGTGCGCACTCACGAGGGGGTGCGAGGGGCACTCACGAGGGGGTGCGAGGGGCACTCACGAGGGGGTGCGAGGGGCACTCACGAGTGGGTGCGAGGGGCACTCACGAGAGGGTGCGAGGGGCACTCACGAGGGGGTGCGAGGCGCACTCACGAGGGGGTGCGAGGGGCACCCACGAGGGGGTGCGAGGGGCACTCACAAGAAGGTGCGAATGGCACTGACAAGGGGGTGCAAGGGGCACTCACGAGGGGGTGCGAGGGGCACTCATGGGGGGGGTGCGAGGGGCACTCACGAGGGGGTGCAAGGGGCACTCACGAGGGGGTGCGAGGCGCACTCACGAGGGGGTGCGAGGGGCACTCACGAGGGGGTGCGAGGGGCACTCACGAGGGGGTGCGAGGGGCACTCACGAGGGGGTGTGAGGAACACTCACGAGGGGGTGCGAGGGGCACTCACGAGGGGGTGCGAGGGGCACTCACGAGGGGGTGCGAGGGGCACTCACGAGGGGGTGCGAGGGGCACTCACGAGGGGGTGCGAGGGGCACTCACGAGGGGGTGCGAGGGGCACTCACGAGGGGGTGCGAGGCGCAATCACGAGGGGGTGCGAGGGGCACTCACGAGGGGGTGCGAGGGGCACTCACGAGGGGGTGCAAGGGGCACTCACGAGGGGGTGCAAGGGGCACTCACGAAGGGGTGCAAGGGGCACTTACGAGAGGGTGCGAGGGGCACTCACGAGGGGGTGCGAGGGGCACTCACGAGGGGGTTTGAGGGGCACTCACGAGGGGGTGCGAGGCGCACTCACGAGGGGGTGCGCACTCACGAGGGGGTGCGAGGGGCACTCACGAGGGGGTGCGAGGGGCACTCACGAGGGGGTGCGAGGGGCACTCACGAGGGGGTGCGAGGGGCACTCACGAGTGGGTGCAAGGGGCACTCACGAGGGGGTGCGAGGGGCACCCACGAGGGGGTGCGAGGGGCACTCACAAGAAGGTGCGAAGGGCACTGACAAGGGGGTGCAAGGGGCACTCACGAGGGGGTGCGAGGGGCACTCATGAGGGGGGTGCGAGGGGCACTCACGAGGGGGTGCAAGGGGCACTCACGAGGGGGTGCGAGGCGCACTCACGAGGGGGTGCGAGGGGCACTCACGAGGGGGTGCGAGGGGCACTCACGAGGGGGTGCGAGGGGGTGCGAGGGGCACTCACGAGGGGGTGCGAGGGGCACTCACGAGGGGGTGCGAGGGGCACTCACGAGGGGGTGCGAGGGGCACTCACGAGGGGGTGCGAGGGGCACTCACGAGGGGGTGCGAGGGGCACTCACGAGGGGGTGCGAGGGGCACTCACGAGGGGGTGCGAGGGTCACTCACGAGGGGGTGCGAGGCGCACTCACGAGGGGGTGCGCACTCACGAGGGGGTGCGAGGGGCACTCACGAGGGGGTGCGAGGGGCACTCACGAGGGGGTGCGAGGGGCACTCACGAGGGGGTGCGAGGGGCACTTACGAGGGGGTGCGAGGGGCACTCACGAGGGGGTGCGAGGCGCACTCACGAGGGGTTGCGAGGGGCACTCACGAGGGGGTGCGAAGGGCACTCACAAGGGAGTGCGAGGGGCACTCACGAGGGGGTGCGAGGGGCACTCATGAGGGGGTGCGAGGGGCACTCACGAGGGGGTGCGAGGCGCACTCACGAGGGGGTGCAAGGGGCACTCACGAGGGGGTGTAAGGGGCACTCATGAGGGGGTGGGAGGGGCACTCATGAGGGAGTGCGAGGGGCACTCACGAGGGGGTGTGAGGGGGACTCACGAGGGGGTGCGAGGGGCACTCACGAGGGGGTGCGAGGGGCACTCACGAGGGGGTGCGAGGGGCACTCACGAGGGGGTGCGAGGGGCACTTACGAGAGGGTGCGAGGGGCACTCGCGAGGGGGTGCGAGGGGCACTCACGAGGGGGTGCGAGGGGCACTCACGAGGGGGTGCGAGGCGCACTCACGAGGGGGTGCGCACTCACGAGGGGGTGCGAGGGGCACTCACGAGGGGGTGCGAGGGGCACTCACGAGGGGGTGCGAGGGGCACTCACGAGGGGGTGCGAGGGGCACTCACGAGTGGGTGCGAGGGGCAGTCACGAGGGGGTGCGAGGGGCACTCACGAGGGGGTGCGAGGCGCACTCACGAGGGGGTGCGAGGGGCACCCACGAGGGGGTGCGAGGGGCACTCACAAGAAGGTGCGAAGGGCACTGACAAGGGGGTGCAAGGGGCACTCACGAGGGGGTGCGAGGGGCACTCATGAGGGGGGTGCGAGGGGCACTCACGAGGGGGTGCAAGGGGCACTCACGAGGGGGTGCGAGGCGCACTCACGAGGGGGTGCGAGGGGCACTCACGAGGGGGTGCGAGGGGCACTCACGAGGGGGTGCGAGGGGCACTCACGAGGGGGTGCGAGGCGCACTCACGAGGGGGTGCGAGGGGCACTCACGAGGGGGTGCGAGGGGCACTCACGAGGGGGTGCGAGGGGCACTCACGAGGGGGTGCGAGGGGCACTCACGAGGGGGTGCGAGGGGCACTCACGAGGGGGTGCGAGGGGCACTCACGAGGGGGTGCGAGGGGCACTCACGAGGGGGTGCGAGGGGCACTCACGAGGGGGTGCGAGGCGCACTCACGAGGGGGTGCGAGGCGCACTCACAAGGGGGTGCGAGGGGCACTCACGAAGGGGGTGCGAGGGGCACTCACGAGGGGGTGCGAGGGGCACTCACGAGGGGGTGCGAGGGGCACTCACGAGGGGGTGCGAGGCGCACTCACGAGGGGGTGCGAGGGGCACTCACGAGGGGGTGCGAGGGGCACTCACGAGGGGGTGCGAGGGGCAGTCACGAGGGGGGTGCGAGGGGCACTCACAAGGGGGTGCGAGGGGCAGTCACGAGGGGGGTGCGAGGGGCACTCACGAGGGGGTGCGAGGGGCAATCACGAGGGGGTGCGAGGGGCACTCACGAGGGGGTGCGAGGGGCACTCGCGAGGGGGTGCGAGGCGCACTCACGAGGGGGTGCGAGGGGCACTCACGAGGGGGTGCGAGGGGCACTCACGAGGGGGTGCGAGGGGCACTCACGAGGGGGTGCGAGGGGCACTCACAAGGGGGTGCAAGGGGCACTCACGAGGGGGGTGCGAGGGGCACTCACGAGGGGGTGCAAGGGGCACTCACGAGGGGGTGCGAGGCGCACTCACGAGGGGGTGCGAGGGTCACTCAGGAGGGGGTGCGAGGGGCACTCACGAGGGGGTGCGAGGGGCACTCACGAGGGGGTGCCAGGCGCACTCACGAGGGGGTGCGAGGCGCACTCACGAGGGGGTGCGAGGGGCACTCACGAGGGGGTGCGAGGGGCACTCACGAGGGGGTGCGAGGGGCACTCACAAGGGGGTGCAAGGGGCACTCACGAGGGGGGTGCGAGGGGCACTCACGAGGGGGTGCAAGGGGCACTCACGAGGGGGTGCGAGGCGCACTCACGAGGGGGTGCGAGGGTCACTCAGGAGGGGGTGCGAGGGGCACTCACAAGGGGGTGCGAGGGGCACTCACGAGGGGGTGCGAGGGGCACTCACGAGGGGGTGCGAGGGGCACTCACGAGGGGGTGCGAGGGGCACTCACGAGGGGGTGCGAGGGGCACTCACGAGGGGGTGCGAGGGGCACTCACGAGGGGGTGCGAGGGGCACTCACGAGGGGGTGCGAGGGGCACTCACGAGGGGGTGCGAGGGGCACTCACGAGGGGGTGCGAGGGGCACTCACGAGGGGGTGCGAGGGGCACTCACGAGGGAGTGCGAGGGGCACTCACGAGGGGGTGCGAGGGGCACTCACGAGGGGGTGCGAGGGGCACTCACGAGGGGGTACGAGGGGCACTCACAAGGGGGTGCGAGGGGCACTCACGAGGGGGGTGCGAGGGGCACTCACGAGGGGGTGCGAGGGGCACTCATGAGGGGGTGCGAGGCGCACTCACGAGGGGGTGCGAGGCGCACTCACGAGGGGGTGCGAGGGGCACTCACGAGGGGGTGCGAGAGGCACTCACGAGGGGGTGCGAGGGGCACTCACGAGGGGGTGCGAGGGGCAGTCACAAGGGGGTGCGAGGGGCAGTCACGAGGGGGGTGCGAGGGGCAGTCACGAGGGGGTGCGAGGGGCAATCACGAGGGGGTGCGAGGGGCACTCAGGAGGGGGTGCGAGGGGCACTCACGAGGGGGTGCGAGGGGCACTCGCGAGGGGGTGCGAGGCGCACTCACGAGGGGGTGCGAGGGGCACTCACGAGGGGGTGCGAGGGGCACTCACGAGGGGGTGCGAGGGGCACTCACGAGGGTGTGCGAGGGGCACTCACGAGGGTGTGCGAGGGGCACTCACGAGGGAGTGCGAGGGGCACTCACGAGGGAGTGCGAGGGGCACTCACGAGGGAGTGCGAGGGGCACTCACGAGGGAGTGCGAGGGGCACTCACGAGGGGGTGCGAGGGGCACTCACGAGGGGGTGCGAGGCGCACTCACGAGGGGGTGCGAGGCGCACTCACGAGGGGGTGCGAGGGGCACTCACGAGGGGGTGCGAGGGGCACTCACAAGGGGGTGCAAGGGGCACTCACGAGGGGGTGCGAGGCGCACTCACGAGGGGGTGCGAGGGGCACTCACGAGGGGGTGCGAGGCGCACTCACGAGGGGGTGCGAGGGGCACTCACGAGGGGGTGCGAGGGGCACTCACGAGGGGGTGCGAGGGGCACTCACGAGGGGGTGCGAGGGGCACTCACGAGGGGGTACGAGGGGCACTCACGAGGGGGTGCGAGGGGCACTTACGAGGGGGTGCGAGGGGCACTCACGAGGGGGTGCGAGGCGCACTCACGAGGGGGTGCGAGGTGCACTCACGAGGGGGTGCGAGGTGCACTCACGAGGGGGTGCGAGGGGCACTCACGAGGGGGTGCGAGGGGCACTCACGAGGGGGTGCGAGGCGCACTCACGAGGGGGTGTGAGGGGCACTCACGAGGGGGTACGAGGGGCACTCACGAGGGGGTGCGAGGGGCACTTACGAGGGGGTGCGAGGGGCACTCACGAGGGGGTGCGAGGGGCACTCACGAGGGGTTGCGAGGGGCAGTCACGAGGGGGTGCGAGGGGCAAGGGGCACTCACGAGGGGGTGCGAGGGGCACTCACGAGGGGGTGCGAGGCGCACTCACGAGGGGGTGCGCACTCACGAGGGGGTTCGAGGGGCACTCACGAGGGGGTGCGAGGGGCACTCACGAGGGGGTGCGAGGCGCACTCACGAGGGGGTGCGAGGCGCACTCACGAGGGGGTGCAAGGGCACTCACGAGGGGGTGCGAGGGGCACTCAAGAGGGTGTGCAAGGGGCACTCACGAGGGGGTGCGAGGGGTACTAACGAGGGGGTGCGAGGGACACTCACGAGGGAGTGCGAGGGGCACTCACGAAGGGGTGCGAGGGGCACTCACGAGGGGGTGCGAGGCGCACTCACGAGGGGGTGCGAGGGGCACTCACGAGGGGGTGCGAGGGGCACTCACGAGGGGGTGCGAGGGGCACTCACGAGAGGGTGCGAGGGGCACTCACGAGGGGGTGCGAGGGGCACTCACGAGGGGGTGCGAGGGGCACTCACGAGGGGGTGCGAGGGGCACTCACGAGGGGGTGCGAGGGGCACTCACGAAGGGGTGCGAGGGGCACTCACGAGGGGGTGCGAGGGGCACTCACGAGGGGGTGCGAGGCGCACTCACGAGGGGGTGCGAGGCGCACTCACGAGGGGGTGCGAGGGGCACTCACGAGGGGGTGCGAGGGGCACTCACAAGAAGGTGCGAAGGGCACTCACAAGGGGGTGCGAGGGGCACTCACGAGGGGGTGCGAGGGGCACTCACGAGGGGGTGCGAGGGGCACTCACGAGGGGGTGCGAGGCGCACTCACGAGGAGGTGCGCACTCACGAGGGGGTGCGAGGGGCACTCACGAGGGAGTGCGAGGGGCACTCACGAGGGGGTGCGAGGGGCACTCACGAGGGGGTGCGAGGCGCACTCACGAGGGGGTGCGAGGGGCACTCACGAGGGGGTGCGAGGGGCACTCACAAGGGGGTGCAAGGGGCACTCACGAGGGGGGTGCGAGGCGCACTCACGAGGGGGTGCGAGGGGCACTCACGAGGGGGTGCGAGGGGCACTCACGAGGGGGTGCGAGGGGCACTCACGAGGGGGTACGAGGGGCACTCACGAGGGGGTGCGAGGGGCACTCACGAGGGGGTGCGAGGGGCACTCACGAGGGGGTGCGAGGGGCACTCACGAGGGGGTGCGAGGGGCACTCACGAGGGAGTGCGAGGGGCACTCACGAGGGGGTGCGAGGGGCACTCACGAGGGGGTGCGAGGCGCACTCACGAGGGGGTGCGAGGGGCACTCACGAGGGGGTGCGAGGGGCACTCACAAGGGGGTGCAAGGGGCACTCACGAGGGGGGTGCGAGGGGCACTCAGGAGGGGGTGCAAGGGGCACTCACGAGGGGGTGCGAGGCGCACTCACGAGGGGGTGCGAGGGGCACTCACGAGGGGGTGCGAGGGGCAGTCACGAGGGGGTGCGAGGGGCAGTCACGAGGGGGGTGCGAGGGGCAGTCACGAGGGGGTGCGAGGGGCACTCACGAGGGGGTGCGAGGGGCACTCGCGAGGGGGTGCGAGGGGCACTCGCGAGGGGGTGCGAGGCGCACTCGCGAGGGGGTGCGAGGGGCACTCACGAGGGGGTGCGAGGGGCACTCACGAGGGGGTGCGAGGGGCACTCACGAGGGGGTGCGAGGGGCACTCAAGAGGGTGTGCAAGGGGCACTCACGAGGGAGTGCGAGGGGCACTCACGAGGGGGTGCGAGGGGCACTCACGAGGGAGTGCGAGGGGCACTCACGAAGGGGTGCGAGGGGCACTCACGAGGGGGTGCGAGGCGCACTCACGAGGGGGTGCGAGGGGCACTCACGAGGGGGTGCGAGGGGCACTCACGAGGGGGTGCGAGGGGCACTCACGAGGGGGTGCGAGGGGCACTCACGAGAGGGTGCGAGGGGCACTCTCACGAGGGGGTGCGAGGGGCACTCACGAGGGGGTGCGAGGGGCACTCACGAGGGGGTGCGAGGGGCACTCACGAGGGGGTGCGAGGGGCACTCACGAGGGGGTGCGAGGGGCACTCACGAGGGGGTGCGAGGGGCACTCACGAGGGGGTGCGAGGCGCACTCACGAGGGGGTGCGAGGCGCACTCACGAGGGGGTGCGAGGGGCACTCACGAGGGGGTGCGAGGGGCACTCACAAGAAGGTGCGAAGGGCACTCACAAGGGGGTGCAAGGGGCACTCACGAGGGGGTGCGAGGGGCACTCACGAGGGGGTGCGAGGGGCAATCACGAGGGGGTGCGAGGGGCACTCGCGAGGGGGTGCGAGGGGCACTCGCGAGGGGGTGCGAGGCGCACTCGCGAGGGGGTGCGAGGGGCACTCACGAGGGGGTGCGAGGGGCACTCACGAGGGGGTGCGAGGGGCACTCGCGAGGGGGTGCGAGGCGCACTCGCGAGGGGGTGCGAGGGGCACTCACGAGGGGGTGCGAGGGGCACTCACGAGGGGGTGCGAGGGGCACTCACGAGGGGGTGCGAGGGGCACTCACGAGGGTGTGCGAGGGGCACTCACGAGGGGGTGCGAGGGGCACTCACGAGGGGGTGCGAGGGGCACTCACGAGGGGGTGCAAGGGGCACTCACGAGGGGGTGTGAGGGGCACTCACGAGGGGGTGCAAGGGGCACTCACGAGGGGGTGCGAGGGGCACTCACGAGGGGGTGCGAGGGGCACTCACGAGGGGGGTGCGAGGGGCACTCACGAGGGGGGTGCGAGGGGCACTCACGAGGGGGTGCGAGGCGCACTCACGAGGAGGTGCGCACTCACGAGGGGGTGCGAGGGGCACTCACAAGAAGGTGCGAAGGGCACTCACAAGGGGGTGCAAGGGGCACTCACGAGGGGGTGCGAGGGGCACTCACGAGGGGGTGCGAGGGGCACTCACGAGGGGGTGCGAGGCGCACTCACGAGGAGGTGCGCACTCACGAGGGGGTGCGAGGGGCACTCACGAGGGGGTGCGAGGGGCACTCACGAGGGGGTGCGAGGGGCACTCACGAGGGAGTGCGAGGGGCACTCACGAGGGGGTGCGAGGGGCACTCACGAGGGGGTGCGAGGCGCACTCACGAGGGGGTGCGAGGGGCACTCACGAGGGGGTGCGAGGGGCACTCACAAGGGGGTGCAAGGGGCACTCACGAGGGGGGTGCGAGGGGCACTCACGAGGGGGTGCAAGGGGCACTCACGAGGGGGTGCGAGGCGCACTCACGAGGGGGTGCGAGGGGCACTCACGAGGGGGTGCGAGGGGCACTCACGAGGGGGTGCGAGGGGCACTCACGAGGGGGTGCGAGGGGCAGTCACAAGGGGGTGCGAGGGGCAGTCACAAGGGGGGTGCGAGGGGCACTCACGAGGGGGTGCGAGGGGCAATCACGAGGGGGTGCGAGGGGCACTCGCGAGGGGGTGCGAGGGGCACTCGCGAGGGGGTGCGAGGCGCACTCGCGAGGGGGTGCGAGGGGCACTCGCGAGGGGGTGCGAGGGGCACTCACGAGGGGGTGCAAGGGGCACTCACGAGGGGGTGCGAGGGGCACTCACGAGGGTGTGCGAGGGGCACTCACGAGGGTGTGCGAGGGGCACTCACGAGGGGGTGCAAGGGGCACTCACGAGGGGGTGCGAGGGGCACTCACGAGGGGGTGCAAGGGGCACTCACGAGGGGGTGCGAGGGGCACTCACGAGGGGGTGCGAGGGGCACTCACGAGGGGGGTGCGAGGGGCACTCACGAGGGGGGTGCGAGGGGCACTCACATACCCTCCTCCCACTGCTGCACCCGCAGCAGGGGGATGGAGGAGAAGGGGGGGGGGGGGGGGGGGGGGGGGGGCGGGGGGGGCTTGTACTGCAGATCCCTTCCCGCCACCCCCATACCCCCCCCCCTCCCCACTGCTGCACCCGCAGCAGGGGGGTGGAGGAGAAGGGGAGGGGCGGTGTAGAAGCTGCTCGGGCGACAGCAGGGCGCGTGACGGGCAGGAACCCGTCATTCGCCACCCCCGCCACCCCCATACCCTCCCCCCCCTGCTGTACGATCAGCAGGGGGACGGAGGAGAAGGGGGGGCCAGGGGGGGCGGTGCAGGGGCTACGTGGGCGACCGCAGGTCGCACGAAAAACATCCGCCACCCCCTCACACCCTCTCCCCCACTCCCCCCAGAGCAGCAAGCGCAGTCGTGAGAGGGGAGGAGGCGTGGCAGCAGCTGCTGCTGCTGAGGCACATCCTCCACCCCCTCACACCCTCTCCCCGCTGCAGCGGGCGCAGCCGTGAGAGAGGAGGAGGCGTGGCTGCAGCTGCTGCTGCTGAAACACATCCGCCACCCCCTCACACCCTCTCCCCCCACAGCAGCAGGTGCAGCCGTGAGAGAGGAGGAGGCGTGGTGGCAGCTGCTGCTGCTGAAACACATCCGCAACCCCCTCACACCCTCTCCCCCCCTCCTCCCCCCAAACTGCTGCACGCGCAGCAGGGAGATGGAGGAGAAGGGGGGGGGGGGAGCGGGGGGGGGGGGGGGGGTATATGAGCTGCGCGTGCGACTGCAGGGCGCACGGGCATGCAGAAACCGTCGCGCGCAGTAGGAGCACCAGGGGGGGAAAGGAGAGGCGGAGGGGGGGGGGTCCCCCAACACGTCCCCCCAAATGCCCGGGGCGTGCGACGGGCATAAACTGACGCGCGACCGGGGCGCGCGACGGGCAGCTTGACGGACTGTGCCATAGCGGAAGCTAATGGTGGGCCCAAAGATGAAGGCTCTAGGAACGAGCCTGCTCTGAATACCATGCAGGGCCTCATATTCACTTTTAGGGTCGTCGACCCATCAGGGTACCCTTGTGTAGAAACCCTGATTGATAGTGTTCCTAAAAAAAAAAGCCTGAAATATCAGTGTTGCCTTTGAAAACAGGCAGATGCATCAGTGTTCAATAATATAAAAGGCTGTTATAATTAGAAATCTCTATTTTATGTACTAAGTCAGTAGCAGCCTTCCGAAACATTGCTAAGCTAACATGCCTCATGAATCATCACCAGCCGTGCTATCATCACTGCTGTTTGCCTTTGGTTCTTCTCTCTCCTCCTCAGCTTGGGACACCAGTACGTGATAGTGCTTTTTGACACACACACCCCGGCTTCACTTCTGCTCGCGACACATACACGTTGAAGCTGCAGGGGCAGGGTTGGGGGGAGGAACCGGATTGACAGGCAGGGTGAGGCAGGGAAAGAGAGAAAAGGAGGGAGAGAGGAGGGAAGACTAGCACGGTTGGGGGGGAGACGACCAGGGGAGAGAGGGATTGGACGGAGTGCGGGGTAAAGGGAGCGGGGGAATGGACGGCGGGCGCGCGGGTCATGCGCGAGTCATGCCGTCGCGCAGCATGACGCTCTGCGCACCACCCGCGGCGCAGATGGCCTTTCAACCGCGGTTCGCGCTGGCGACGAGGCAGCCTTCGGTCGTCGCCATTAGCACGAAAAACTACGCGTCGTCGAGTCGTAGCGGGCCTACGACACCGACGGGAATTGCCACGTGGCCGACGACCATCTCGCAGCATGCGTTGCGGATCGCGTCGAATGGGAACGATGTGTTCCGCGAGACAAGAAGAGGTTCGGCGGCGCTCGCGATGGGTTCGATTCCCAACAGCCCGCCGTTTCTGGTGCTGATGGCGCCATGTACCGTATGGCCCCGGATAGTAGCGCACGTGCGCTTATAATAAAATCGATTTTTTTAAGGGGGGCGCTTCGAAATGAGTTTTGGGCATAAGCGCCGGCGCTTATATAATGACAAATAGAAATGTATATATTTAGAGCACCAGATTGTACATTTTATTCTTGCCATTTCAACCGAGGCGAAATGTTCTAGCGTCACAAAGCAGAATCGTGCGCAAGCGATATTCTGCCAACATACAGAGGCAAAGACACATCATGCCACTGGACGCGCAGCCAATCAGGTCTTCGCGAGTCAAACGAAGCGAAATTGAAAAAAGACTCGCTGCAGAAAGTAATATCGTTACCATTTTAAACATGATTTCAAATTAAAACAGTAAGTGCGCTTATAATAAGTAAAGGGTTTACAGTGGGGGCGCTTATAATCGAGTTTCGGCCATAAGCGCCATGCTCCAGATATAAGCGCCGGCGCCTTTAATCGGACGGCGCCTATATCCGGGGCCATACGGTATTAGTGCAGATGAGAAAGCACGAGAGGAATCAGACTTAGAGGGAGGGAGAGAGAAACAGGAGGAAAAGTAACACGAGAGATTGGATTGGAGGGAATGGGAGCATCAATGCTTGCCAGCACAGCCAACGGTGTAGGAACCCTCGCAGCCCTCAAGCACCACATGGTTGCCACATTCCGATTAGCCAACGGAGCGAAACTGCCCAATGGAGTGCTGGCACCGCAGGAATCTGAGATTCCCTGTAATCGCGGGCAAATCCACACGGAACAAGTAAAAATTGGTTTCAGTGTTAGTTTCGTTACAACGTTGTGGAATCGGTGTACTTACGAAAAAAAAGTCTGAAATTTCAGTGTGGCCTAACAAAAAAGGCTGAAAGATCAGTCCCACAAAAATCTCAATACTGACTTTTCAGTGTAGGTAAAAAAAGGACTGCCAAAATCAGGAATTTCAGGGTTTTTTTCCTGATATCTGAGGCCCTGATACCATGTCAAATTAGTAGCTAAGAGAGATTAGGAGGCATGCTTAGGGTTTGAGCTAGGCATGAGTGTCGAGGGAGTTTAGGCAAGGGAAAAGTGTCGAGAAATAAAAAATGTGTTCAATAATGAGAAATAGTACAAGGATATAGGCAAGAACCAAGAATGGTGCACCCCCAACAGTTTATGATAGCTACACTAAACTACAGCTACATATATATATTCCAACATCCAGAAGCGAAGGGGAGTGATGGAAACATTTAGTTTACGCTTCTGAAGTATCGAGCTCTACAACAAAAGAGAAGCACACCCACAGCGAAGCAACAACGAGTCAACCAAAACGGTTGACAAGGAGACAACAGCTGGAGGTTGAAGCGAAGGTCAAAGGTCAGTGACCTTTGACTTAACAAAAACAGCGCGACAACAAGGACAAATAACTCACTCGTTATTGAGCAGTTACCCGAGTCGTCGCTGTATCGAACCGCAACAGCAGTTACAGTTAAACCCTTCGTATTCCTTGTAATAATATAAACCATTGTATCTCTTTGCTATAATCAATTCATCTTGTTCTCACACACTACTACAAGGTGGTTCACTCAATCCACTATTACGCTTCCGCTAAATACATCATTACTCTGAGAGTTTAGTCTTGAAACTATCCTAAGGAATTTTTCAGCCCGACAGTGGTGTGTGGATGCAAGTGATGGTGTCACTGCGCTTCAACTGCCACCAGAGACTGAATGAAAGGGGGGTGTTCCAAGCGTCCCTAGCCAAGGCATTCGGAGTTCAAAGTGATTCAGATACTTCTAATATGCAGTGATTTGATTTTGTTGTGTGGCATCTCCTAGCTAATCCCCCGAGTAGCCGAAAGAGGAAATAATCATGTTGTATCACTTGTAGTGCATGGACACTCAACTGAATACACATGATTGTGGTATATTCAAACATAAGGCTTTGCAATGAAGCGGGATGCTAATATCTGATAGCTTTCCAACAAGCACCAGTCTGCCAGCCACACTCCACCGTCTCACAAGCAGGATGTGGGGGAGGCGCTAAGAGCGCGTTTCACAGATTCACCACAAGCAGCAACAGCAGCGCGTCAACTGGGACAAATGTCATATCGCGAATTCCGCCAATCAGCGCTCTCGACTTATCTCAACCATTATATGCTAGTCTCCGATTCCAAGCGAAAGAGCCGAGCCCAATCCAAGCCGAGTGTCGCTGCATTTCGTGAGTTGAGCCACAGAAACCGCCAGATCGTCGAATCCTAGCCGTTAAAAGCTCATCCATTGCAGCTCACCATTGATCACTGGTTTTAACAAGTTCAGGCCTACCGAATTTACTGCGCTGACATTGCCATATGGCTTCCCGAGGGGGGCGCGCGTGGGGGCGGGGCAGTCGCCGGCAAGAAGCAGAGGCGGGTGGCGGAAGCGGTAGCTTCAGCGGAGGGCGCCATCCGCGGGGAAGGGCGGAGGCGCAGAGAGGTGCGCGCGGAGGCGGGCGGCGGGCGCAAGGGCGGGCGGTGACGGCGGAAGAAGAGGCGCTGCATTCGCTGCTGGAAGGTGCGGGGAGAGCGGAGGGTTGCGGGACGAGGAAGGACGGGTGGGGGAGGGATGGGGGTGAGGAGGTGTGGCTGATGGACCTCAGAACCTCTGGAATGAGGGGCGGACGGTTGGAGGGGGTGCGGGATGCAGGGGGGAGAGGGGGGGGGAGGGGGGAGGGTCGGGACTACACGTTCCAAACTTGGGTGCCGGTTGTCGCCCTGATCCCCGCTCCCCATTCCCTTCCCTTCGCTCCGCCCTTCCCTCCGCCCTCCCTCGCTCCCTTTCCCCCGCTCCTGATCTTGCTTCCTCCCCCACTCCCCCTCAGTCCCCCCCCCACATGGTTATGCCAATCCACAACTTCCCCACCTCCCCCCACCTTCCCCCGCTCCCCCCTCCCCCCTTCCTCTTAAGAGGCTGGCAGGAGGAAGCAGGCAGGGCAGAGACGACTCAGCAGCACAGCTGTGACTGTATTGGAATGTGACAACAGCGGTGCCACCCACAGTACCAGCAGCAGCAGCAGCAGCAGCAGCAGCAGCAGTCACCCCACCACCTCAGTCCCCCCCTTTACTGTCACCACCACTGCCGCCCCAACCATTCTCAAGGGCCCAGCAACCGACCACTTCGAAGCATCCCTTCGTTACTATCACACTGCCCTCTCCTCCCCCGCCCTCTCCCCCGCTGCCCGCCTCTCCGTTTTGTTTGACATGGGGGAGGCGTATCTGGGGCTCGGGGATGCGCAGCTAGCAGACGGGAAACGGGCGGCAGGGGGGCCAATGAGTCAGCCTGTGCTGATGTGGCAAGCGGTGAAACGGCTGGAGAGGGAGGCTGCCACGTCAGCTGCTGACTCATGCCGACTTGCATTCGAGGCATTCGACGAGATCTGTCGTGCTGGCCCCACCCTTCGCTCTGCTGACTCAGCAGGGGGTGCCCTGTCAGCCGCTGACGTCAGCAGCGGAGGAGGCGGGAGAGGAGGCAGAGGGAGGGGAGGGGGGGAGGGTGGCGGGGACGCTGACGTGGCGGAGATGGTCCAAGGGGCGGCAGTGAATGCAGCCAATGCGCTGGTGGCATGGGCAGAGGCGGTGGGGGAGGTGGAGGAGGGTGGGGAGGAGGAGGTGAAGGAAGAGGAGCGGGGGGAAGGAGCATGCGAGGGTATGGCGGTGGATGGGGGGGAGCAGCAGCAGGCGCAGGTACAGCATGAGCAGGAGCGGGCGGAGCAAGGTGGGGTGAGAGCAGTGAGGGTGGTGCAGCTGCTGCGTGAGGCAGCAGTGCGGTACGATGCAGCAGCAGGCGCGGCACCGAATGACACGGACCTGCTCTCCAACCTCGGGGACTGCGCTGTCAAGACTGCTGAGCTCATGGTGAGGTGGCACCCATGCCCCATGAGGCACAAGGCACGGGGCACAGGGCACCGGGCACGAGTGTGGACAGCAGTGGTGGCAGCACCCCCCCCCGGATTCCGCCCCTCACCCCATCCCTGAGCCTTCCTGATGCCCTTTTCCCCCGAACCTTCCCTTTCCCCCTTCCCCCTTCCTCCTTGCAACCCCCCACCAGTGTCCAGAGCGGCCAGTGGGCGAGCGCGCGGTGACAGCATGGGGGGGGGCGTGGGGGCAGTACGAGAGGGGCATGGGGGCGTACGGTGCAGCGTGCTCGCTGTGTGATGTGCGGGTGGGGGACGACATGCCAGGGCTGCTGCACAACTGGGGCGTGGGACTGCTGTCCGCCGCTCAGGTGAGCTGCTCTCCTGCTCTCCGCCAATCAGGTGAGGTGGTAAGGACAGGTCCAAGTTCCAACCTCTCTAGCATCCGTGTTCAGCATGTCCGCCTGCGGCAGCTTGTGACTTCATTCCCCGACATCTCATTTGTACTCACCCGCTCCTCTCATTCTACCTGTCCGTTCTCTCCCTCTCATTCCTCTTGCCCTACAGCGCTGCCCTGAACCTGACCAGGAGGTTCGGCTTCTGACGGAAGCTGCGGAGAAGCTTCAAAGGGCAGCCGATTTCCAGCCCACAGATATCGCCTCTCGTCTGGCTCTGGGGGAGGTGTTATCTGCGCAAGGGGAGGTGCTATCTGCACGGAGGGCCCAATCAGCATCCTCATCCAGCAGCCTACAGGAGGCCCTGCACCTCCTCTCCCTCTCTCTCTCCCGCGGGTTCTCTGCCGCCCTGCGAATCGACTCTCGCCATCCAGAAGCGCTCCTGGGGGCGGCAGATGTGCACCTGTCTGCCGCCCGGCTGCTTATGGGGTGGGCGGCGGGCAGGGAGAGGGGCGGCGGTGGTGGCCGCAGGGAGGGTGGTGGAGAAGGCATGGGTGGTGGGGATGAGGTGGCAGCATCGCTGCCTCAAGAGGCGGTGGACCACTTGCAGCATGCCATGTCAGCGTACCGTGCTGCCATGGTGGCAATGAAAGGTGTGCACTGCCGCTCTGAGCTCATTCATGCATGCACCCATGGGACTCCATCCATTCGCCCATCCATCCACGTTTGCTGCCCGCATGAGCCAGCAATGGTTCAGTACATTGCCTTCTGGTGTCAAGCAACGGTTCAGTACATTGCCTTCTGGTGTCAAGCAACGGTTCAGTACATTGCCTTCTGGTGTCAAGCAACGGTTCAGTACATTGCCTTCTGGTGTCAAGCAACGGTTCAGTACATTGCCTTCTGGTGTCAAGCAACGGTTCATTACATTGCCTTTTGGTGTCAAGCAACGGTTCATTACATTGCCGTATGGCCTTGCATCCTTGCATTGCGTCAAGGCTTCATCCCCCTGTCCCTTGCCGTCCCCTCTCATATCAACCCACGCAGCTACGGATGTCTTGTCATATGCGGATCAATGCGGTGGGCTTTACAACATGGCGTGTGCTGCTGCACTGGCAGGGCTGCTTGCTGTGTCAGCAGACATTCTTGCCAGGCTGGCCGTGATTGGTTGGCTCTCCAAGGGAGATTTGCTGAGTGACGAAGATTTTAGACTTCTCAGGCAGTCCCCGGTGTACACAGGCTTGCTGTCTGAATTAACGATGCAAGAATCATTGTGATTCCCATTGCTCACCTTCTGACATGGATTGCTCGCCTTCTGACACGGACTGCTCGCCTTCTGACACGGATTGCTCGCCTTCTGACACGGACTGCTCGCCTTCTGACAAGGACTGCTTGTTAGAATGGTCTAAGTTACTAGCGGAAGCTATAGTAGACTTAGAACCTCCTCCTAAAGCCTAGGAATCTTATGAGCCAACTTGGGCATGAACCATGCTAGAACCAAAGTGGTTACCAAGAAGTGAAGTTCCAACAAGAGAGAACCCTAACCTATAGGGTTTGGGAGGTGGCCCACTCTATAGAGTGTACACCACAAGTTTTCCCAACCCAACCAATGTATTCTACACTATTATAGTGTAGATGTATCACTACATATGTTTATTGGAGCAACCCGCATTAACCTTAATTCCAACACCCCCCCTTGCTCCAATAAGCATTAAAGTTCACCCATAAATCAAAACACAACCCCTCCAGCGAATGAAGCCCTGGCCTTCGCAGCCATCACTCGCATGCCGATGCGCTCCAGGTTCTCATGCAGCTGCAAGCTTGGAAGAGCTTTGGTGAGCATGTCGGCATCCTGGAGGTGGGAGCGTACTGAGTGCACCTCGACCTCCTGCTGGCGCACCGCATCCTGTACAAAGTGCCATGCCACCTTAATGTGCTTGGTGCGCTGATGGAGAACGGGATTGTGGGCAAGGGAGACAGCAGCCTCATTATCACAGAGCAATGGAATAGTCCCCCCATCCCCCATATGCATCTCTGCCAACAAACTCCTCAACCAAATGGCCTCCTTGGCCCCCTCCGATAGAGCTTTGTACTCAGCTTCAGAAACGCTTGCTGCAACACTGTCTTGCTTTTTGCTATACCAACTGATTGCTCCTCCTCCCAGCTTAAAGATGTAGGCAGAGCGACTCTTGCCATCAGTCTCACCACCCCAATCCGAGTCTGTGTACCCAACAACCTGCTCACCACCTTGGCGCTCATACCTGATGACACGATCAGCTGTGTCGACCAAGTACCTGAGTGCTCTCAGTGCAGCGCGCATGTGAATGCGTCTTGGTGCCACGCAGGACTGTGCAAGGGTGTTGACAGTGAAAGACATGTCAGGACGGGTGGTCACAGCAGCATACATCAAGCTGCCAATGAGACTCTGGTACACCTTGACATCAGCTGCAACACCTTCCTCAGTCGACCAAGTACCATTCCTAATCTTAGAGAGATCATTGGGTGACATTGGAGTATGCACCCTATGGGTCTCCTTCAGCAGATCACCAAACCTTCCCTGGAGACCACAGACATACTTCTCCTGACCAATCTCCAACCACCCATCCTTGACCGACCTGCGAACCTCCACACCAAGGCACGTGGATACCTCACCTAAATCCTTCATCTGATACCTCTGAGCAAGCACCTCCTTGACCTGACCGATCAGCTCCAAGCGTGGAGACACAAGCAAGAGGTCATCCATATACACCAATACATACACTGGCTCTTCATCCACAAACCTGATGTACAGAGCCTCATCACATGCACTGCGGTCAAACCTTGCTACAATCAGGGTGGTACCAATCTCCTCATTCCAAGCACGAGGCGCTTGCTTGAGCCCATAGAGAGCTTTGCGCAAGCGATACACCCTACCTGTACCATCATCAAATCCCTCAGGTTGCCTCACATACACCTCCTCTTGAAGGACTGCATTGAGGTAAGCATGATCAACATCCTCCTGTTGTACATGCCACCCTTTTACCGCGGCTTCTGCAAGAAGCACCCGACCTGAGGTGAGCTTGCCCACAGGGGCAAATACCTGATCATAGTCCTTCTCGGGCTCCTGAGTGTACCCCTTAGCAACAAGGCGAACCTTGTGCTGTACCACCTTATCCTCCTTGTCAGTTTTCCTACGGAAAACGTACCTGACCCCAATGGCCTTCTTACCTGGAGGTAAGTCGACCGGCTCTGGATCCCATACACCCATAGTGCGCATTGCATTTACCTCCTTCTCAGCGCCTGCCTTCCACGCAGGGCCCTCAGGGCCACGCAGGGCCTCAGCGAGTGTGCGTGGGACATCATCGGTGCTCACACCTGCCAGTGCAACACCTTCCACCTCCCTGGCCAAACACAGCATGCCCTCAACCACACCAGCATCCCCCCCTACCTCCTCACCACCTGTACCAGACTGGATACCAAGCACCTGCAAACCCGTAACCGGTGGTGGGGAGGTAGTCGCTGGTGACGGAGGGGCACCCGTAGAGAGAGGGACAGAGCGCTGACCAGAGGAGGAGGAAGAGGAAGTAGCCTGTGTAGCGGATCTCCGCTGAATGACCACTGAGCTGCTGCAGAGGGGTGGGCTGCTGCTGCACCGACACACTCAGCGGTGCCGGTGGCAGTGATGAAGGTGGCATCTCAACGTCGTCAGCCGGTGCTGAGGGTGGCGAGAGTGGAAGAGGGAGGAGTTGGGAAATCGCAGCTGCATCCTGCAGAAGCTCCCCGAATCCCTTTGCCTTGTCCCAATCCTTCCACATCACATTCTCAAGAAAATCAACATCCCGAGCAATGCGAATGCGCATGAGAGAAGGGTCCAACATGCGCCAACCCTTGCTCTCCATGTCCACCCCAACACAGACACACATGACAGCCCGTGCATCAAGCTTGCCACCCTTCTCATGCCCATGCAGCATGACACTCCCCATGCAACCCCAAATCTGAGCCATGCCCACATGCGGCTTCTGGCCGGACCACGCCTCCATTGGTGTGATGGAGGCAGGCAAAGCACTGTGGGTGACCCTATTCTTAACCCACACGACCCACATCAATGCTTCACCCCACAAGCGAGCAGGGATACCACTGTCGACCAACAATGTGCGAATCCCCTCTGCCATCGTCCTGTGCCACCTCTCTACGACCCCATTCTGCTGCGGTGTATCTGCGACACTCAATTGGGTTTTGATGCCAAACTCCGCTTTCCATGCTTTCACAGCGTCCCCCAAGAACTCGCCACCCCTGTCGGAGTGAACAGCCTTCAGCTTCCGCCCACACTCCAACTCCACGTCCTTATGCCACTGGTGAAGAACTTTTGCGACTGTGGCCGATTCCTTGTTGGGGAGTGGGAACGACCAAACTCGTCTGGTGAAGTCGTCAATGAGACTGAGCACATACACCGCTCCTCCCAGTGACGATGTGCGCACTGGCCCCCACAAATCCATGTGGACCTCATCCAAAGGCCCAAGTGCCCGAGACGCCTCGTGGGGAAACGGCTTCCGAGCCGACTTTCCCAATAAGCAAGGTTCACATGGGGAGCAATCAGTGCTCCCCCCCCCGATCTCCAAGCCCAGTACACTGTTCCCCTGAGCCATCTGTTGCAATGTTGTGGGGGCGGTGTGACCAAGGCGGCGATGAGCAAGGGTCAATGGGGAAAATGAGGAGGAGGACCCAGCTGCAAGAGCACTGCCTTGTGTGCCCCGAGCAAGAGCAAGAGACATCCGCACCAATCCATGGTCCCTGCCCCTCTCCTTTTCTCCAATCGCCAACACCCTCTCCCCCCGTTTAAGAACACATTTCTTGCCCTTGAATGTGACAATGACATCTCGAGAGGTGAGGTGTGGGACTGACAGCAGACGCGTGTGCATCTCAGGCACAAGGTGGACCTTTTGAATCCTCAGCAGCTGACCTCCAGCACCAACCACTGGCACCTCACCCATGCCAACAGCTTTCACCACCCGTCCATCTCCCAATCTAACTCCCCGAACCTCTGGTGGCTGAAGCTTACTTTTGAAGTCCGATGCATAAGGAGTAAAGTTGTGGCTGGCCCCACTGTCAATCCACCACCCCTCTCGCGGCTGCTCCTCTCCCACTGCTGCAATTGCCTCTCCAACCACTGCCTCTGCCTTGTCATCCTGCTCCTCCTCATCCGCCACCTGTGCCTTGCCGTTGGATCCACGACCCCCACGCTTTAAAAATGCCGGAATGCCTCCCTTAGGTCGATGAGGACATCGCTGCCATGCATGTCCCTCATCCCAACAGCCATGACACAACCCCCGAGGAGCCATGCCATTGGACCCCCAGGGGAAATCAAGCACTCCCGCTTTGCCTTTTCCTTGACCCCATCTACCCGAGTTGGTGTCACTGCTGCTACCGCTGCCTCCATGCTTTCCGCCCTTGTCCCCATTTCCCCTGCCGCTGCTGCCCACTTTCGTACCCGCTCCAAAAGTGGCTACACCATCCGATCTTGGTGCGACACCAATCCGCATCTCCTCACTCCTCAAGGAGGTAAGCAGCTGATCTTTAGTAAGCGATGGTGATTGGTTGTTCAGCACTACCTTCAGCATCTCAAAGTGAGGAGGTAGTCTTTTGAGTACCCTCATCATCCACTCCTCAACCTCCTCCTTCCCTCCTGCAGCCAAGTACTTGGACCTCAAGTCCTTGGCACGCGCCCAGTATGCAGCCACTCCCTCCCCTTCTTTCATCTTCAAGGAAGAGAGTTCATCTGAGAGTGCCATCCGGTTACACAATCCACGCTGAAGGTAGAATTCCTTCACTCGTGTGTATGCCGCTGCCGTGCCTGCAGGAACTTGGGTGACCGCTCTTGCTCCGCCATCAACAGGTGCGTTTCCCAACTCGGTCTTGCCGCCGAACTCCCGTACCAAGCGAATCAACTCATCTGGCACCAAGGCATTGCAGAATTGGGCAAATGCCTTTTGATTTCTCTGTCAAACTTATATATGCTATAGTCTGTTTAGGCTGTAGTGGGGTAGTCCTTAGAGGGTACAACACTTTTGTGTTGTCTAATTGTACCCCACCTGTTTCCTAGTTCATCATTCATTCCTCAATTCTCTCACATGGTATAGAGCTAGTTCGATTTTTTTTCCTAAGGGCCCACCACTAAAATTCTTTTTTTCCTTACCTACCCGACGCGCGCGTCGCGCCTGCCCTTCGAGGCCCCTTCGCGGCCCGTAGCGGCCCCTTCACGGCCCGTAGAGGCCCCTTTGCGGCCCGTAGCGGCCCCTTC